GCAGATAATTTGATCTGTCCTCCTGTGACAGACAGATAGCATGTCATTAACCCAGGTTCTTGGAAAGGAAGGCAGTCGATTTTGGAATGGATCTAAAAAAACAGAGGGGTGACATGCCTTATAAAATTATTCTTTATAATGTCTTTCTTTTTCCTTAAATAAATACAAAAAAAAAAATTAAGAGCAGACCAGTCTGTGGAAAAGACAGGCATTATATGGAGGGTAACGTCGTAGGGGTTTGGGAAGTAGACCTAGCCAGAGGGGAACTATTTCTATAACTCAGGCATGGCTCGCTTCTAACTATATAATTTTCATAAATTTAAAAAATTAAACACTAGCTGGGCATGGTAGTGCACACCTATCATCCCAGCACTCGGGAGGCTGAGGCACAAAGATCGCCATGAGGTTGAGTCCAGCCTGGGATACAAAGTGAGTTCAAGGCCAACCTAAACAGCATAGTGAAATCTTGTCTCGAAAAGAAAACAACGAAAAAAGTTTAACATATAAAGCAGTTCTCTGGAGCATGACCTCTTCCTTCCTTCTAAAATAAGCACTCTCTGCACTGCTAACAGCACAGAGAAGTTCTGCCTGTTTCACTTTATATGAATAACATAATAGAGCATGTACTTTTGAAGACTGGCTACTTTTGTTCCAATGGTGTTTGTGAGCAGCGGCCAGAGCTGTAGTGCAGTGAGATCTCATCTTTCGGAAGGCGGACATTTCTGCAGGAAGGCTGCCAGTAGCTCTGATGCACATGTATGAGTTAACTAATCTTATGTTACTCCTTTTTATAAGGAGGAGGGCAGGATCAGGGTGGCAGTTGTCCAGAGGCATGAAGGGAATGAGCTGAAAAGTGTGGTAGAAAAATTATAGAAAAGACGTGTTGCTCTAGGATAACTTCGATTAAATTACAGAATTGCTGGGATCAGATTTGGTGTTAAATATTTTTAGGAATTTTTCAAATCAACCTAACTTCTAATACTTTGGCCATATGAGGGTAAACGGAAATAATAATATGTCCTTCTTTCTATACTCTCTAGGTTGGTATTCTGTATTAAATATGTTCTGGGCTTTTTAGTAAAGTTGCTGAAATCTTCCTAGATGGATGGTTTCATTTAAATATACAATGCTGGGGATGTAGCTCAGCAGCACAGCACCTGCCTGGCAAGTACAAGGTCCTGAGTTCAATTCCCAGTACCAACCAAGAAAATAATAAATATACAATGCATATACTATTAACCATACCACAACCTAGACAGGTATGATGACTATCTCCAGAAGAACTCACTTCGTTAACTGAGAATGGATTGCAGCACATTACAAAGTATTTCGAATGCAATAAAATTTTCCAGAGGGGCTGGGGATTTAGCTCAGCAGCAAAAGCGCCTGCCTCGCAAGCGCAAGGTTGTGAGTTCGGTTCCCGGTACCGGAGAAAAACCAAAAAAAAAAAAAAAAATTTTCCAGAAACACTTGGCTCTCAGTTTTACATGAATATATAAAACCAGCTTTCAGACTCGGAAGGAAACTGGTACCCAGAGAGCAGTGACAGATGTGGGAAGTAATCAAGCTTCCAGTGTGCGGCACAGGAAGGCACAATTTACTTCTGTTTGAATAATTTGCCCTTTAAAAGCATGCCCAAGTGACCAGGGAGCTTCTTTACAGAGGCAAGGACTCAGAAATCAAGGTTTGCAACAGAAGATGTACATATCTGGGACTAACTTTGTGACACTCCCAAGACCACTCAGACCCTGTTTGCCAGCAAAAAAAATAGAGAGGAAGACAGAAGGCATTCAGCCAGACCTACCCATGGTAAAACAATTGTAAAAGATTTTCCAATAGAAAAAGAACAGGTATGGAGCAGGTTAGGTGCTGTAGTTTATATCTGAATTGTAGCCTCAAAGATTCATGTGTTAGAGGCCTGGCGCCAGCCAGTGGTGCTATTAGGAGGTCGTGGAATCTTTAGGAGGGACAGAAGTCAGGTCACTGGGGGCCTGCATTTGAAGGAATATTAGGACTCTTCCCCCTCCTTTTTACCCCCACCTACTTTGTTTCCCTGTCACCATGAGGTGACCAAGCTTACCCTGCCACACACTCCTTATCAGTGGATCAGAGTCACACGGCCGAGGGACCATGGACTAAAGTCACTGAATCCGTGAGCCAAAATAAATATTTTCTTCATTTAAATTGATTTGTCATAGTGAGGAGAGCTAGCACAGGGAGCAACTAAGGCCAGGAGAATTAGGGCCCAGGAAATCTGATTTTGGAACCATGAGGTCCTACTCAGAATATTATTTCATCAGCTTTCACTATTGTCACCTACAAAATGGGGAAATAAAACTGGTAATGCTTTTGCTCTTTGTGACTGATGTATCTCTCCATTCATCTGTCTTTCTGCCCATGTCAGTACTCATATCTCTGAGTTAGGACTAAGACTTAACCCATTATTAATTTTGTTGATAGCTCTAACATAGGAGCCAAACTGTTCTCCAATAAATAAGCATCTCAGTTTACCTGAATGTGAATTTTACCAACCCACCTACTTCTGACCTGAGACCATTCCCTCTAGGACAGCGTAGCATTCTCCAGTTCACCACAGCCTCCTGTTCTCATTACAAAGTAAAAGGACATTTTTGATGTTAGGAACATAGCAGGTGTGCATTCGCCAACTCCACAGGCCCACGGTTAGGCGGCTCATTTGCTGATGGAAAATACGATCTCCAAAGAATGCCTTTCTAGCTTGTGAGGATTATTTATAGCTTCTGACAGGGAAGGTTTCCAGTACAGAATGAATATCATTATTAATACTAACTCAAATGAACTCTACAGGAAGGAGGACCATAAAGTCTTCACAGGCTGTCCATAAGAAATGTGGTCTTTGAGGACTGGAGGATAAATGGAGAAATGGGAGTAGGGTTTGGGGCCTTGGCTTTCTTTTTGAGGTATCAGTGGTACTCTTTTCTCACTGCAGCAGCTTCCCTACTGAATTCTTCTTTTTTTCTGAAAAAGGAATACGGGTACGAAATCTCTGAGGAAATAGCCTTCTCCTCAGAGACCTGTGGGTATCCACATTCCTGCTCCAGCATGGTAATCTTGTCTTCTTCACTTTATGTTTCAGCCTCTTTAGCCTGCGCCCACCATTCAGAAAGCCACAAGAAGGAGATACTTTACTAGTGAGGCTGATTTGCTTATGCACTATGTGTTTTCCTTAGTCTCTGTTTCTAGCACATTCCCAACTTGCCAAAGGCTACCCATCCTTCGAGGCCCACATCTTGCCCCCTTGTCCCCAGGAGGTTTTTCTGAATATTTAGCCCTCAGAGGGCTCCCCCTACACCTTGCCTCTAAACTTTGATAGCAACCAAGGTGTATTTCATATACTATTAACTAACCATAATGTATCATCTCTTATTCAGTTATGTGTGAAATTTTCCCAGACTGCTGACTTGGGGTGTTGACTAAGTTATCCAGTATAGCCTACTCAGAATGGCCAAAGGGGATACTTTTTCTAGTTTGTCCACTTGGAAGAAGTTCTTTCTGCTAATTCACAGAAAGCATGGGCTAAGTCAGCTTAAATTCTCTCCTCCCTTTACAATCCATTTCAGACACATACAGACCAAGTCAGCCACCATGGATAGATACCAGTTACTCTCGAAGGAGAAATATCATTTCCTTACACCCTTGAATGACACCATTCATCAAACACTTTCTTTCGAGGCATCATCTTTTTTTAATACACAGAAAGCTGACAGTTTTCTGTATGAAGCAGAACGAAAGACTCACTCTCTAAAGGAAACTAGGAAAAAGCCACCATGATACAAATCAAATTCTAAGACAGGTAATTCAGCAATAATTGTTCGAAGCTCTAGGAATACCATCAAAGACAGAGTCTAGGAGGAAGTGGGCAGTGTGGGCAGCTCCAGTAGCTATAGATAATAGAGGAAATTCAGCTCGAGGCAATGACTGCTGCCCAGGCAGACTGCTTGAGGGCTGGCAATGAGGGAGAAGAGCAAAGATCCGGGAGGGTGAACCAATAAAAAGTACACAAGGGGGCACGCTTATCTGCTGTCTTTGCTTAGGAAGAGTCTCTGGCTTTGGTTCTTGAATAAAACACGCAGGTTGATAGGCAGGGCAACCTCCGAGAAATGGGCTGCAGTCCCAGCCCACCATTTAGGGCTAGCCTTGACCTGGGGTGGGCCGCTCAACCCAGCTTCCTTTTCAGCAAAAAAGAAATAACACTACTCCATTCATTTATCCACCTATTCAGGGCTCACTGTGAGTCAAACACAACAGCACATGATGGTAAGCACAAGATCTTTGCCTTTGTAGGGCATCTAGATCATCTCCCCGGACTGAAGTTATGGAGAACAAAAATGCCTTTGAATGCAAGGCACTGTAACAAGAGAAGGTTGTCTTCGTCATCTGTGAATTTCATCCTTGATCTGGCCGTGTGACCTGGGAAGTCTTCATTTTCTAGACTTCCTAGTCTCATCTAAAAAATGAGGGAATTTCCTGTTCCAAAGTTTAATTATCCCAAGCACAGAAGGTAAGCTTTTTAGGTACTTAACTTTCTTACAGCTTTCTAAAAGATTACTATGGATTAGTTCAGACACAACAGAAAGGTAGGATAATGAAACAAAGCCTGCGTACCATCTCCCCTACTTATGAAAGAAAACACTGCATGGAGCTCTGTCAGGTGGCAAGTGCCTTCTATCAGCCGGGTACACAACTGTGATGAGTTTGGTGTTCACTATTCTGAATCCTGGCCACTCAAGGAAACCTGATGTGTGCCGAAGAACAGTTCTCCAGTGAAGAGCTCTTCCTACCCTTGGGTGTTCCCGGTTCTTAACGAATACCAGGTCACAAAAGTGCACACCGCAGTCAGCTTAAGTGCCAGTCTGTTCTCTCCCTGCCAGCTCTACCTGCTGCTCACCCAGAGAACGGAATCAGAAAAGCCTTGTGGCAGACACTGCCAGTTGTAAAAAGGAGAACAGTTTTGTCTTTACCTTGAGGGCCTTCTGTGCAGATTCACTAGACCCGATTGCGATCAGGTTAGGCCCAGCCATGCTGCAGAAACTCTTCAGATGCAAAGAATCAGCCACTGGGACTGTGGAGACTGCATAGTCCTGTCCAGACAAATGAAAAAACAAGCATTTTGGTATTGCACAATAATTCTAAAACTGATTAAAGACCTGCCTGAACCATACTTACTCCTTTGCAGGCTGCCAGGCCCTGAATATCTGGAAGGAAAGCTGGGACCTGCAGGTTTGGGTATTGGCAGTTACATGAAGACTGCTTCTAAGAAGAAAGCACAGTTTCCTTCCAGATGTGGGCTGTGTCAACACCTTTGCCAGCTATTTGCCTTAAGGGGTGGATTACTCTGGGAATACCTTGCGCAAACTGTGGCTCAGCTAGAACCTCACATCTTATGGGGAACAGAGCTTTTGGGAGTTATCTCCCTTCCTAAGGAGTCTGGCGAGCCAATCTATTGGTCATTGGTAGAAGGATCTTGAAGGAAGGCATGTGCAAAACCTAGCAGAGGGGTCAGCACACAGTAGGCACATTCAAGTATGCAGGTGACTCTTGAATCCAATCTGAAATGTCACACTTCGTATCTGAATCAACTGGGTCTTCAGATTTTTTTTTTTTAATATCATTGATCGTAGTATGTGCAGAGCGTTCGTGGAACTCCATGGGAGAAGACAGATGACCACGCGAACTTTGTCAATTGCTCCTGGGCTATGGCAGGCCCATGAAGACTAATGACCGAGAAATTTGCATTTGATAGCTTTTAAAATTTCTAGCAAATGTATAAATAGTAGGAATTATTTTGCAAAACTGGCGAAATACAAGCACCATTACTCATGACAGGTTGATTCAGTGGGTCTATGAATATTTATTAAGTAATTACTCTGTGCCAGGCATAAATGATCCTTTACCTACCTTAAAAGTATCAGCCAAGATTTCAGCACCTCGTTGATTTGTCCGTTTGGAAAGGCCCACAAAAAATTCTCTGCCTGTAACAGATGTCATGGAACACAGTGAGCGTGTGGTTCCAGAGATGGTGCACCGTTTTGTTTATGTATAAATAATGATCTGAAGGTATCACACAGTTCTTTCCTGGCACAGAGAATGGCTCCATCAAGAGGTCACTGCTCTCTTTATATAAAAACTGTTTTCAAACGATTCCCTTTAAAAAGAAGCTTTTTCAAGTTCACAGAGACAGAAAGGACAGTGGTGGTTTGCAGGAACTGAGAGACGGAGAAGCAGAGGGTGTCACTGTGTAATGGGAATGGAGTTCCAGCTTAGGGAGATGAGAAGGTTCTGGACATAATTCCACAACAGCATGAAGATACTTACCGCCTCTCAACAGACTTATGAAAATGGTTAAGGTGATAAATCTTTTTTTTTTTTTTTTTGAGACTGGGTCTTGCTATGCAGTTCAGGCTGGTCTTGAACTTACTAGGAAGCCCAGGCTGGCTTCAAACTTGCAGGGATCCTCCTGCCTCTGGCTCCCGAGTGCTGGGATCACAGGTATATACCACCACACCTCACTGGGTGATAAATCTTATGTTGTGTATATTTTTCCACAACAAAGAATAAACTTTTACTTAGGAAATAATAGAATTAAACATATTGATAATCTATAATGAGATAGCAATGACAAATTGGCAGTACTACCTTTTTTCCCTCTGGAAAGAATATTACTAGATGTTCTTAATGAAGCTGGATCCCTTTTATTACATAGATCATGTAAGGCTTAAAGAAACCACTTGACAAATGAGTTTAATACTGACTGACCTTCAGGTCTGACCTCTAAAAGCGCTATCTTTTAAACTATACATTTATTTATTTTAAATCAAAATATTAAGATATCTATCTGCAAAATACAAAAGTTCAGGAGGATCAAACTTTCTTAATTGACTTTTCTGAAATTCTGCAGTTTGTCTACTTAGGCAGAAAGACACTAGATAAAAATATTTTTTAAATTACAGGGAAAGAATGTAGAGGTTCTTTTCTATTTTTATTTCTTTAGTTTAAAGAGAAAAAACAATAACAAAATAACAACAACAAAAACAAAACAACACAAATCAAAAATGATACACAATTTCAAAACAAGATGATAGAAAATTAACAATGGTTGTTATATTACCTATTGTTATCTTCAATGAAGTTGCTCAGATTACCAGATATAAGAATGCAAAACTGATCAAACAATTAAGAGAATAAAAAATAACTAAAAAATGGAAACAATACTAAACAGGATGGTAGAAATTCAACAATGGCTGTTATATTGCATATTATTGTCTTCAAATTAGTTGCTCAGATTACGAGATATAAGCATGCAAAATTGGTCAAAAATTAAGCATTAACTGTTCCAAGATTCTTATCTTTCTTTAATTGTTTTGTAAACTAAATCAATGGATGAATGGATAAAAAATGTAGTAACAGGGGCTGGGGATTTAGCTCAGCGGCAAAAGCGCCTGCCTGGCAAGCGCAAGGTCGTGAGTTCGGTTCCCGGTACCGGAGAAAAACCAAAAAAAAAAAAAAAAAAGTAGTATTTACACACACTGGAGTACTACTGTGTCATAAAGAATACACTTGAGTTACTTGTAGGAGAATGGGTGCACCTTGAGACCATAATGTCAAGTGAAGCAAATCAGACACAGAAGCTTAAATACTGCATGGTTTCTGTTTAAATACAGTATAAAGTAAAAGACAAAAGAATTTTTAAAAAGATCTTTAAAAAAGGAAATGTGGGGGAAATATTCAAAGAGAAATCAGTTTCTTTTTGCTCTGGAGCATTATGGTGAAGTATATAAGAAGACAGCCAGGAGGAGGGGATCCTTTGATAGACTTTATAAGTGCTTACCTTTACTCTTCATGTTGTCCTTGTAAAAGGAGGTACATGACACAGGTCCGATGATGTTGTGGCATATTCTAAGGGCTTATGCTATTGGCAGACACAGTAATCTTTTGTGGCACACTGACAAATTTTTTTTGGTAATGGTATAATCGTGTTGTCCATTAAGAAAACTCCATATAAAAATTAGAGTTTAATTTATGGAAATTTTTTTACTTGACAAAAATCTTATTTTATTTAAAATGTCACCTACAATTTAAGAAATCATATTTTATTAATCTCATAAGCTAATAATAGATTTATACATTGGATTTACACATAGCTAGTTCTAACATATTTATACATTTCGAACTCACAACCTTGTGTTTGCCAGGCAGGCTCTGTGCCGCTGAGCTATATCCCCGGCCCCCTAACATATTTATAGAGGGACCTGCATGCTATTTCTACTTTTTAAAACTAAGGCATGATAGGAAGTACAAAGCTAAGTACACACTATTTACCTTTGTGAAAAGTTGGACTTCTCTTAGTGGCAGTATTGTGGGCAAAATCCTTAAATAGCCTTCCTGACACAAATAATTACAATGCTAGAAATGAAATATTCATTATTTTGTTTTTATGTCTCATGTGTAGTTTTCTTCTATGCTAAGTACCCCCCCTCCCCACTTTGTGCTTCACTAGTTTGTAAGAGAAACCAGGTCATGTATGCTTTTGAGTATCCTGCGTTCTGGACTTTGGATTTGGCTGATTACTTTCTAACATCATTTAAATTTAAATTGTCTTTTATATTTTCAGGACATTGATAGTTTAATGTAGATGGTTAATCAGATTCTCAATTTTTGGATAGGATTTATTTCAGAAGCGGGGCTATTATTCTGTTTCTTCAATCAGGGATTTGGTTTACTTGAAATATAATTCATGAAGGAAAGACGGGTTAAATGACTCTTTCCTTTAGATATCTACTACTACAGTGATGGGTTGGTGTTCCAGAAACTTACAATAATGCCCAAGCTAAAAAACAAATCATTATCCTATGAGTCAATGATTAAATAATAATAAAAATTAGAAAAATTTAGAATTAAAAGATAACCAAGCACTCACTGAAACAAGGATTTTGCTGAAGCAGTACTTGGAAGGAAAGTTAAACAGCCTTAAATGCTTGCATTAGAGGAAATAAAGGGTTCAAGATTAATGAGATAAAATTTCAATTTAAGGTACAAAGGAAAGGGCCAGGGATATAGCTCAGTGGTGTAAATGCCTTCCTGGCAAGAGCAAGGTCCTGAGTTCGATTCCCAGTACCACCCTGCCAAAAAAAAGATACAAGGGAAAAAAGAATAAAAGAAGGAAATAGTCAAAAAAGTCAAAAGAAGGAAATAATAAGAAAGAAAACATTCAAGAGAGAGTTCAACAAAACCAACAGTTACTCCTTTGAAAAGATTAATTAAAACTGGTATTTCTGGCAAAAAGGAAGTAAGAGAGAAAGGAAGAAATTAAGAAAGGCAAAAAGAAAAAGAAAAGAAAGGAGCAAGAGAAGGAATGAAGGAGATGGGTACAAACATCACACATGAAAAGAGAATTCAGGTATACATGCTGTGCAGTTTAAAAAGACACAGTATTGATATGAATAACTTTATAACAACATTTTATAAACTTAGATAAAACAGAGAAAAATTTTAGAAAATGGAACTACTGTAACTCATCAAAATGGAATCAAGAAATTTTAAATAGTCATATGGTCATTAAAGAGCTGAATCAGAGGCCAGGCATGGTGGCATAAGCCTTTAATCCCAGCGCTTGGGAGACTGAGGCAGGAGGATCACTGTGAGTCCAAGGCCTACCTGAATTGCATAGTGAAACCCTGTCTCAAAAGCCAAAAAAAAAAAAGCTGAATCAGTTTAAAATTTCCCAACAAAGAAAGTATGAGGCGCTGTCAATGGTTATGTGTCATCGAAGTTCAAAGAAGCCATTATTCAAGTATTACTGATTCCAGAGAATAGAAAAATGGAAATATCTTCTAAAATATATTTCATAAAGCTAATATAACACTTTAACCAAAATCAGACAAAGATAACAAGAAAAAAATCACAGGCCAAGCCCGGCATGGTGGCACACACCTGTAATCCCTGCACATGGGAGGCTGAGGCAGGAGAATCATTGCGAGTTTGAGGCCAACCTGGACTACAAAGTGAGCTCAAGGCCAGCTTGAACTGTATAGCGAGACCCTATACAAAAAATCATAGGCCATAGAAATAAAACTCTTAAAAATATTAGCAAACCAAAGCTAACACTGTATGAAAAAGTGAATAAATCATAATCTAGTTTGATTTCATCCCAGAGATCTAAGACTGGTCAAGTATCAGAAAATCAATTAATGTAATTGATCATATCAGTAGATTAAAGAAGTAAAATCATATAATCATCTCATTGAAGCAAAAAAATAAAAGTTTGCTCTATAGCTGGAATTCATTTCCAAGTGTTAACTTTAGAGAAACTCTTGTTTATGTCCCCAGGAAACACACACCAGAACGAAGATAGCAGCACTGAAGATAATGACAGACCAAACCCAGAAAACACCCAAAATATACATTACCAGTAGAGTGAACAAATACATTGTGGTGTATTCCCACCGCAGCGTACTACTTCAGCATTGAAAATGAACCACAACTATACACATCAACTTAGATCACAAGAAGAAAAATCACACAAGAGTTCATACAGTGGGGCTCTAATAAGGTAAAGCTACACAACAAGCACAACCAAGCCACTTATAACTTAGAAGTACATACACTGAGATAAACCTTGAAGAAAGGCCAGGCAGTGATCAATACAAAAGCCAGCGCAGCATTTTCCTGAGGCTGAGAGGAAGGAGGGATTGGGACTGGGGTGCATCATGAGTGATTTCTCCAGACCTGGCGATATTCTGTTTCACAAGCTGGGGGTGAGTACGCAAGAGCTGATTTTATTATTGGTCTTTGAATGGTATAGTCACACTTTATACATCAGTTGTATGTATTCCACACTTCACAGAAATAGTTTAAAAGTAGGTGGTATCCCTTGATACTGCCTATTCAAGGGAAATGGGAATGAAAACTATTTCTGCCAGCATCTGCTTGCCTGACTGACAGATTTCCCAGCAGGAGTGCAATTGGAAGGCAGCTCTCCTTCTGTCCATTTCCTGATACATTATTAAAAAACCTCCCAGGTCCAGAAGGAAGATAGCACAGAGCACATGGAAAGTGCCATGGACTTTGTTTCTTATCCAACTTTGCCTACTCCAAAAATTGAATGGTAAGAGTTGCATAACAAAGTGAATGTAATTAATGCCCCCCAATGAACTGTACACTTAGCAATGGTTAAAGTGGCAAATTTTATATATGTTCTACCAAAATAGAATGAAAGAGAAAGTGAGAGAGGGAGAAAAAGAAAGAAAGGAAGGAAGGAAGGAAGGAAGGAAGGAAGGAAGGAAGGAAGGAAGAAAGAAAGAAAGAAAGAAAGAAAGAAAGAAAGAAAGAAAGAAAAGCAGGAGCAGACATTAGGTATAACCAACGTTCTGAGCAGACATCCCAACATTGTCTCCGTTTTGAATAAAATAACTATTAAGATGTTATCTTATACATTGAATATACCAAGTAAAAAAGGTCTACAGATAACCTCAAAAAGTCTACAGACAGTATAAAGGCAAGCACCAGTGCTTTCTGCCTAGTTAGAAGATGGGACAAAAACATCAGGCTTGAAATGCCGTGGGAAGACCTTTGACCAAAAAGACTCTTGGTGTAAGTGAGTCTTCACATTGAGGAGATTTTAGGACATGGGTGGACTTCAGCTGTTAAGGTAACCAGATGACCATGATCACAGCTTGGTTGTGCCATATTTCAAAGGCGACCTGCATCTGCTTGCCGCAGACTGCTGTATTTATTATATGGCTATAGTTTCATAGAGAAAGAGTTGCACTGTAAGGACATGCAATGTATACATGTAGCTTTTCACAAAAACCTGTTTTCTAAAAGAAACAGGCTATTGTTCAGGGCTGTCAGAAAGAATGGATGTCCTATTAGCAAGAGACAGAATGAAAATGCTAAGAGAAAACTTCAGGGCAGACTGAGGAATGCTTGAGTCTGCCCGGGGAAAGCCAGACCTAAGAGTGCCGCATAAGCTCCCTGACTTCTGCTTCTGTATCCTGATGGCTCAGTGTGCCCAAAGACAAACCCCAGAGGCAGGGCCACTGCCTGCGACAGCGGTGGCACAAGCTGTGGAGAGCATAGCTCAAGGGACTCCTACTCGCAGGACCCATAGCTAGTCTGGCTCCCTGGAGCTGGGCCACATGAAGTTTCCACCACAGGCGTGTGACACTGAGCACAATGTCTGAACAAACACTCCTCGTCCAGGAGCATTAATTATATCCTCACGTAAGTAACACAAGGCATTATTTTTATATTAAGACAAAGACAGTCATGCCTTGGCTGCATAAAATGAATTCAATTTAAATTCACATCAGCTGCAATAGTAGACTTCCAAGAAATCTCACACTTTCATTAAGCTACCTGGGGCTACTTCCCCAGTCGCCAAGGTTCAGCCTCTGCTGTTTGTGCTATACTGGTGAAACAGATCCTTATTCTCTAGCATTTAGGGGAAAACAAACTCTTCCTATAAATTAAAATTATTATTGATTAGTTTGCTCCCGAGTATAACCATAATAAAATCTGGGGGGTCCAGATTTTACCCATTATTTTACATCTGATCAAAAGAGTCAGAAAGATTAAATGCTAAAATTACTATTTCTTTAGCAGCCACATTATAGCAATTGTAAAAACTGATTCTAGTTAGATCAGTAATATTACCAGTTATAATTTTGTTGAGTTCTGCTATTATTCATTTGGCTTTACACCAAGTCAAATCTGCATAGAAAATTACTTGAATTCATCTTGCCATCTGGAAAGAAAATTATTAGTAAGCGACACTAATCTTGAATTAAGAATTCTTGAAATACAAACCAGACAAACAGTCACAGAATGGAGAATTATCCAACTCATACACTTAACTGTGGAGGCGCACAGAAGCAAGATATGTACAAATAATGTACATACTGAAAATATTCTTGTAAAGAGTGTGGAAATATGTGCATATGAAAGTACTGCAAGGACATACAGCTACATATTAAAGTGATAATCTGTGAATAGAAGGTCATTTTTCCTCGCATCTGCTTTTCTGTATTTTCCAAATTCCCTGCATTTAGCATTTATTACTTCAGTAATAAAAGAAAAACTATAAAGAAACAAGTGAGTATGTGTCAGGTACTAGAAATATTTTTGGATAGAAAAAAATAAACGCAACTATACCTGTGAATAAGACATCTCCTCCATCTAAGGTTGCATTTTCGTCTTTCATTTCTACTATATTCAGCTGAAGTTTTTCTAATGCTTCTTTCATCATGTCAACCTATTAAAAATAAAATGTTCATATTAGTAGCCTAAGATTTTCTAATAAGAAAACTACCTAAAATTTCTGAGTACTAAATCACACTACCATGTGCACAGATGCACACACACATACACACATGCACTGGCACACACCCTTGCGATAGGGGAGGATCAGCATAATCATTCATAAGAGAATTCTCTGAAAAACATTGCCCATTTGTGTGCTTCTAGTCTAAGGCTGAGTCAGTATTTTAGTCCATTTTGTGTAGAGAGGCTAATTAGGGCACCACCGGAGGGTGACCAGTTAAGATGCATAAATCATGGAAGGTAGGGGGCGTATCACCAAATCCTCCTGTCCTTGCCAGAAAGTACAAGATTTAACTTTAAACCCAAGTCAAGGGTAGTCAGTTAGTCAGAATTACACACAAAGATAAACAATGTAAGGAATGTCAATACTTAGTAACTTGAACTTTCAACCTATAGCATAGTCATCACCTTCTTACCTCTTTTCTTCCTTCCTTCCTTCCTGCCTTCCCCCTTCCCTTCCCATTTCTTTCCTTCCTTCTTTCCTTCCTTCTTTCCTTCCTTCTTTCCTTCCTTCCTTCCTTCCTTCCTTCCTTCCTTCCTTCCTTCCTTCCTTCCTTCCTTTTTTCCTTCCTTTGAAACAGGGTCTCACTATGTAGTTCAGGCTGGCCTTAAACTATGTAGCCCAGGCTGGTCTTGAACTTATGGTGATCCTCCTGCCTCAACCTCCTGAGTGCTGGGATTACGGGCATGCACTGTGTACCACCATGCCTGGCAAGTGTCATCATTTTCAATTCAAATATTTTCTAAAATGCCACAACACCCAAGGCTTCTCTGTAAATATAAAGTTATTTAAGCTTATACCCACACAGTTAATATGATTATTTTTTTCTTTCAAAATGTATTTCCATAGAGATAATTAACAAATACAACTGAAATCAAACAGAAGAATATTGGAAAATAAAATCCAGGGACTCCTATAATTCCAAGGTGTGTCTAAAGCAGAAATACTCTGGCTGAGTTAGGGAACACTTGTAGTGGATATATATATATATATATATCTCATAACAAATGCCCTTTGACGCTTACAATTGAATTCAGGTTCTTCCAGCATGCCAAGTATTTTAGAATGTCTGTTAAACCTTTAAAATGGAGAAGACATGCATTGAGAAGACATGAATAGGGCTGTGAGAAAAACAAGAGCTCACATCATACTAGGCAAAGCAGATAATCCTGCCAAAATATAGCATGCAGAGGATGGGAACAACTGTCAATGAAGAGACATCGATATAGCAGTCACTTCTGAAGTAATGAAAATGTGGAAAAGCTCTGACAACAAGGCTGACACTCATGCATTCAAAACATTAGAGGACACAGAGTAAAATAAATACATCATCTCATCCTTGTCTTGGAACTCATAGTAAAATTCCACAAACTAGAGTGACTCAGAACAATAAAAATCATTTCCATGGACAAATTGTCTTCACATTGTGGTAAATACACCCAGAGACTTCTTTTAACAGCAGCATAGGTTTTCCTATGCAACAGGAAGTGGAACCGTTGCTATAGCATAGAAAGGGGGCAGAACAACATTTACCGTGACTGTGAACGGAGGGAAACACACACAGCTGTGCCTCTGACATCTGCTTTCTCTATGGAAAATTCATTGAGCTTACGGAGAGAGCACAAGAGCTGTACTGGCTTTTGTTTCTATTGCTAATGCTGCTGCTTCTATCACAACTTAACACTTTGAAGATTACTAGGGAGTCCAAATAACATGCATTTGGGGCTGGAAAGTTCATGTGAAACTATGTAAGGTCTCTCTCAGGAACTTTATTAAGCTCTTAAGAATGAACAGAAGTAGGGAGGCTACTATACACAAGTTTCAGAAATGCTATAAGGTCCTATGTCTTTCAAACTAAATTAAAGTTTTAGAGGATAAAATGTTTGTGGTTTCTTAAAAGTGAAAACAGCTGCACCGACATTATGTGCAAGGGTAATACTTTTTAAAAAAATCTAGTCACATCTACATAAAGTCATCAGGATAGGTGCGTACCACAAACACTGATGGGGCCACATGACTTTTACAGTTAGGTGCGTGGACAAGGTATTTAAAATTGTGAAAGACCGAATAAACAGTTTTGGAAGGTGGAGGACCATGTGGCATCACACTGGCACTGCGAAGGTCAGGGAGATTTCTGGAGAAGAAAGGAGAGAGGTTGGCGCCCACAGGCTGCCCCTTGAGAACTGCAATCTTCTGGGACGGAGTTCCAGCGAAGTGCACCAACTTGGCTGTAAACAGGCCCGGAACTCCCCTGACACTCGGGCTCAAAGCAAGCCAGCTATTCAGGCAGTTAGAACATTAAATATGACTACAGAAGCGGGAACTTTTGCAGGACAAAATCCAAACCAGGAACCTTCAAGAAACTGCCCATTCTGTGGTTACAGAGTCACAGTGAATGTTGACTTAATTAACTTTCAAGAGGAAAAATATGACCAACACCACATTCACCTTTCACAGAGACACTAACCCTGCGGAGTGGAACGCTCTGTTACTCAGAGAAGTGTTGGAACAAACAGCATTCACTCCAAAAGCTGAGCTGAGTGGGTCATTTTAGCCCATGAAATTAGAAATAGAAAGGGTAAACTAGAGAAGCCACCCTAATTAATGTAAACCTTTACATAAACCTCAGAGTATGAGTAATTTTCATATTCTATTGTAAAGATGTGCAAGACCCTTCCTCCTTCTCTTTTCATGCTTCATGCACTTTCATTTTTTTATACTCTCTACTCCCATTTCTTTTTGTCTCATTTTTTCCCTCCTATTCTTTACCTCAGATTCTATTCTTGGCCACAGTGGCTTCAGACAACCTCTGCTGCTTCCACTCATTCAACCCCGTGCCTCTTTCTCTTGAGGGGTGGTTATGGTCTCCAAATAATTATAGTATCTCTCCAAGTATTATAGAATCTCCCTCCATCTCTGCCTCTCTTCTTTCCTTTCTTTCTGGAGGATTAATGTTAAGAAATGTAGAGGTCTTGGGGTTATACATTCAGTCACTATCCTGGGGAAACCTAGAGCATGGTATTATTATTAAGGGCCTAGGGTTCAAAACCCAGTTCCACTCTTTACCAGCCAAGTGACCTTAACATGTTTAAAATTCCAAGCCTCAGTCTGCTCATCTTTAAAGTGGTTATTTATTCATTGTAGTGTCAACTTATTAGGCTCCTCCTTCTCATTAAATAGATGTAAACCTCTTACCACACAGAAATGTAAATGCTCAATTAATAGTAGACACAACTTTTACTATTTTGATGAAATACCAGCTTATGTGCACACGGCGACAGATACTTGTGCTATGAAAGTGACCCCCAAGTAAAAAGCTGTTGCTTTTTCTTAATTTGGATCTGTTTCTTGTGTTTCACCACCCTATGACAGATCCCATCTGCTTTCCAGTAAACTAAGATTGCAGCCTTTTCTGCAAATCTAGTGTAAAGTTAGAATACTACACGGAGGACACATTTAAATATAAACTATTCAAATTTGATTTCCTTCCAGCTCTTGGAAGCAGGATGAGGTGTATTTCTTGTATAATCTCTGCTCTGAGCTCATCCCATGCCAGTACTACATGAGGTGGAAGTGGACTATCTGGTGGATGTCCCACGGGACTCAAATCAGCCAAGAAAATATAGTATGAGCAGGTTATAAGGATATCCCACTCTGAAGGTCCCAGTCAAGTCTAAAGAATTCTTTCTCTTTCTCACTCCCGTCTCCTTCCTTATTTTTCCCATCCTCCTCTCTTCCTCCCTCCTTTTGCGGCTCTCATTTCTGTGTTCTCATTTGTCCTATCAGATTCGTATCATCATTCTGTCTTCTCACTTCGCTCCTCTTGGGCCGTGGCGAGTGAAAAGTACCAGGGCTTTGAACACTGTCACATATAAGTGATGTCAAATAGAATGAATTAACCTCTAATGTTTTCTCAGAGGCACTGTCAGTAACAAATGAGATAATACACGTAGAGCATCTAGCCCAGAGCCTGGCACACTGTGCTCAAAAGCAGTACTTGATGCCATGAATGTTATTTTGCCCTAAAACAACTCAGCTCTTGTTCTGGATTCTGGGTACATCTGAAGAAGGAAGAAAAGATTAAAACACTGCTTTCAGCACTAAATAAAACAACACTTAAACTCCACTCTCCTTTTACTTCTTGCAAAATCTTCCTCAAAGTTAAAAAGAACAAAAACCCTAAATCCCTCCTTAATTTAAAGCAAAACAAATCAAATATAAAAGCTTACATTTTCAGTAGACAGTTATATTCAGAACAGCTTGCCAGAGTACTGTAATTAACTTAATATTTGTATTTACAGGCAATAGTTTCCAGTTGACCCTGTCCAAGGTGGACTTTACTGCATATTTTCAGCAACGACCATTCTGAAATTTCACGTCTTCACTCAGGGTGCTGTGTAACCGTGAGGCCCGGTGAACAGTTCTGGGCTGTGTCCACACCCCCTTCCTTAAGCTGCTTCTGCTCAATGGAATGCCAGATGCTATAGATACCAACGAGCCCCTTGGAGTGGGCTCATTTGTGCCTGACATGTCTTAGCCACCCATAGTTTTGTCATGGCCTGGAAACTCTTACATCACCACCATTGTCACCTGCTATAGTTTGGGCCTGGAATGTCCCCAAAGGCCTATGTGTTAAAAGCCTTGTCCCCAGCCTGTGGTGCTACTGTGAGGTATTGTGGCCTTTAAAAGGTGGGGCCTAATGCAATGAGGTCATTGGGGGCCTATCCTTGAAGGGCACATTGAGAGGCTGGCCCCGCCCTCTTCTCTTTCACAGCTCAACCATGGGGTGAGAATCCTGCTCCACCTCAGGCTTTGCCATGATGTGCTGCTTGAATATAGGCTCAAAACAACAGGAACAAATGATCATGCACTGGAGCCTCTGGAACCATGGGTCAAAGAAACCTTTTCTGGTTGTAAGTTGATTATTGCAG